GTTAGTCAGAATACCCAGAAACTGTGGAGGGATTTGCACACCCCAAGTCCAGCACAGGGAAGTGGGGCACCAAGACATCAGGGTCTGTCAAACACCCAGCATGCTGGCTCCAACACCAGCTGCACGTTCAGTTGTTGCTTTTCAATCTACTTTACTACTCTATTTTGGAGCTTGGAATTCACATATAGAGCATAAAATTCAGAACAAGCTGTTTTGTTGCCCAACAGCTATTTCAGAGATAAAAGACACTTTGAGATAACCCACCTTTGGGTTAATTGCTAGTTAATGAGAACAGTCTTGTGAAAGTAGCTGTTTGCAAAAGGAAAGGAAAAAGGGGAAAAAAAGCCTGAACAACTGCTCAGCCGTCCATCTACAAGTCATATGCCTGCTTTTGGACAAAGTGTGTGATATTAAAATTAAAGAGTCAAAAATCTATATCCAACTCATTTTACTCACTAGTGAGTGGAACAGTAAGCTCAACTCCAATCAGAATTTGTTACAGGCACTTTAAGGGCAGTAGGAAAAGTATTTTCTTTTACAAACTTGGCAGTATGATTTGAGCTTGTAAATACAGCATGAAATCAGTAAACAAATTTAAAAAGCTCCAAACACTGAAACCCTACACAGCTTTTGTATTGTGTTAAGTGTTTTAGCAGTTTCAAACACGTTCATGCACTACCTTAAGCTGACTGACAAACTAAATTAACTCAGCCACATTGAATTACATCCATTCAATATCATCTCAAGGATCTAGTGACATTTATTAACTAATACATTCATACAAGTCACCAAAGCCTACTCAGCATGCAAAACTATACATGTCATTGTCACAAAACAAAAGCCATAGCTTTACAAAGAGGAAGAAACACCAGGACAAATAAATTTATCAATTCTGATCAAAAATAGACAGTATTTTGCACAGCAGACTAGAGAGAATAAAATATTAGTGGCTTTATTGCTGCGTACTGCTAAAATTAGCTATATATTGTTCAGTTTTGCAAAAAAAAAAAAAAGAAAAAAAAAGCGTGAAGTAAATGGCAACTGCAGGATAAAAAAATCAGAGGGTGATTAGGTAGTTGCTAGGCTGTATTCCCTTTGAGCAAGGAAACCTGAATATTACAAAGGGCTGAGTTACAAGGGAATGTGGGGTATTTTGTGACAGACCTCTGCATGACAGCTGGAGAGAAGCTATTGTGGCAACAGCTGTGTGCTCTGCACAGCTCATACTCCCAAATACCTCAGCCTGCTAAGAGGCCAGTTAACTGGCTGCAATGCATTTTAAAAGTTTTCTGCCTCTTGGGATGTGAGCATGATGGATTATTTGTGTATGTTTTCAATAACAGAAGGAATGCTTAGTTCTACCACTTAGCCTTTTACAAAATGCTGTGGTGTAATGCTGAACTATCATTCACTGCTGCTTTCCTAGAGTTTATAGCTGCAACATCCCATTAACTCTCCTCCACAATTAAAACATCTTCACTTCCTGTCTTACCAGAGCACAGGCTCGACAGCAGTAAATTCATCTATCATATCCTGATTTAAAGGAAATGATCTGATATTTCCAGGATGAAATCCTGGCCCACCAACAGCAATATCGAGCTGTGTGTTACCTCCCTAGAGGAAAAATTTTGAGGAACACGCTACTCATCTAACCACTGAAAGCTTTGATGTTCTAATTAACTCTAAAGTTACTCCAAGGTGTCAGATGAATGTTGGAGAGGCAAACCCAGGCAGTTATACACAAGTGACCAGTTACACCTCACTTCTGCACTGCACTAATTAGCACAGTGAGGCTGAACTCAGGACACCAGAGAGCTTCCACTGTAGGAGATGGGTTTGCTCACTTGGCCTCCTTACAAACACGTTGCTGCTTCAGGCCAGATTGAGGCACAGCAAGCACAGGAGCACTGTGCACTGCCATAACTTCAGCCACTGCCACTCCTGTAGGAATGGATGCTCTCTGCTTCCCCACCATCATCTAAACAAGGCAGGGAAGGATGAGCTGTGCAGACATCCCAGAAAGCTGGCAAAAGAAAGAAGATTAACTGGTTCTTCTTACATCCTCATTTTCTCATGCTTCCCTTTGTTTTATCTGAAATCAAGGAAGAGTTTTCCCATTTTCAAGTATCAATCCCCTGTTGTCTTTCAAAAATACAATATAGATTGTGGCACATGCTTCCTCATGATATCCTATCACCACAAAAGTCTGATTTACTGGAAAACAATCAGCACCGAAGTAAAAGCTGTACTTGAATACTGATTTACTGAAAATTAAAAAGGAAAGCAATACCAAGTGTAGAAATATCTGCTAGTATCAGTAAGAAGAAAAAAAACTTTCCTTTTTAAGCTTCAGTTGGTGACAGCCTTATTTTAAACACAAGCACTAAAGAAGCAAAAAAAATTAAATCCTCCACTGACATCAGAATCTGTCATGTAGCAAAAGCTAGTACTGATCCATGTTTTAGTGAAGGCCACTACACGTTTGTCACTTAATCCTAAGAAATTCCAAAAATGAAGCACGTGACTTGCTTGTAATCAATTTTAAAACAACTTGGAGCAGTTTCTGTGCAGCCTTAAAAGACAAACAACGTATTTGGCAATACACTTGCTGTACAGAAACTACCCAGGTGCCTGCATGGCAAAGCACACACTTGATAACATCACAGCTTTAAGAGCTCAGGAAGACGCTGTGGGATATAAATAGTACACCAAACCTCATCTCTTATTGTCCACAACCACACAGCAAGCACGGAAATAACACAAAACTCTTCTCTAAGGTACCTGAAGTACTGCCCAGGTCTTTATTTCCCAGCTATTTTTATTCAGTTTTGTTTTGGGCTGTTTGGGTTTTTTTTAAGCTGAATTTTCTGCTAAACTTCACTTTGCAGTGGCAAGATTTTATCTCAGGATAAAGCTGCAGAGAGGGCAAAAAGATGGAGATAACTTAATGCAAACTGACAATAAGTTGTTTTGAAGAATTCACCCTCAATGTGTCAGCTTAACACCACAGTGCTGTTCCCTCAACACTCTTTCAAAGTGAACTATTTATTTTTTCTGCTGTTAATTTGAAAAGATCCTTATATGTGACAAAACAGACATGGATTCCTCTTTTGCAGATATTTGCTGAAAGGCAAGTGTCAGTCACAGCAATTGGCCCAAAAATTATATTTAATGTAAGCTCAAACTATTAGGTTAAAGAATTAATTTCTACAAGTACTCAAATATTGAAGCTATTCAGTACTCAGCAGAACCTTATTGCTCTTTAAAAAATGGCTATACAAAGGCATCAAGCGTGAGCTTCCCTTTTTTCCCCTCCTTACATCTTTAGTAGAAATTACAGCTGCAAAGGTAAAGTTATCCCAAAGCCCTCAATGCTGCCTCAATCCAGAAATCCCTTCAGCAACATTTCCCAAGACAGCAGCATCACAGAACTGAAGCCACATCCAGATGCACACATGACTGCCACAGCGAGACACAGGCAACACCACCTACAGCAGCAGTGCCGTGCTTGAGTGAATGGCACCCTAAACCAGCTGCAGAAAACTCAGGGTTTCATAATCTCCATACGCAAGCAATAAGGAATTCAATCCACACACTGAGAGGACTGCACTTATTCCAGCCCCATCACCTTCAAACAGACCAACCAGCCAGTATTCTACCAAAAACTGACCAGCCATCTACACATCTGACAAAAGACACCTGCGCAATACACCTCAAAAGGTACCAGTCAAACTAAACTAGTTCCAAAGAACTAATTCTCCCAAAGGGTCCCCTCTTTTAATGTTCTCTACAATATTGGATCTTATAAGCATTCCAGTATCCAGTACCTACCCAAAAATTCAAAGTAATGTTTTCTATGTAGTTACTTAGTCTATGCTGCAGAGCTTAAATTTTTAACAGAGTACTTGAGCTAATGAACACATGGACGCACATGTGTATGAAAAAACCGACTGAAATAAAGAAACAGTCTATTTGCTATCAGATCACCCAACACCTATTTTGTTGTAACAAAATATTAGTGGAGAACATCATTGCCCCAAACATTAAAAGACAAATCTGCCCCGCTGTCAAGCAGCCCATCTTAGGGGTAGGTAGAGCATTACCGGCTCTCCACAGTGGAATAAAAGAAAACAAACAAGAAGCCATGCTCTCCAGATTTGCTGCTCTGCCGTCAGCAACAGCACAAGAAGAACGCAAGTAGTTGTCTCCTCCTACCACCATAAACAGAGGTAGAAAAGCTAACAGCAACAGGGCAGAGGATGAAAATAAGTAAAGGAGGTACGGCTGAATTCGTGGCGAAACAGGAAAACGGGCTCTTCCTCGTAACACTGACACGCACTCTTAGTATCGCCTATTCTGGCGTGTTTTTTACTGAATACGAATAGACGAAAAAGTTCAATTGTCTACAAGTTACAGGATGAAAAGCAGGCGTTCCGAGGGGCGGTGGGCGCTGGCTGGTCCCAGCTCGCACAGAGTGCCCCAAACGCCCCTTCTCTCGGGGGGAGCCGCGGGAGCTTCCCGGCCCCTTGCCGGGCCACCACAAGATGCTCAGCCTAGAGCAGCTATTTCGGAGCCGGACGCCGAGTGTCACCGGTCCCCGGCCGCGCCTGCCGCTTCCCGGGCGGAGCGCGGGGCCGGACCCCGCCCGCCACACCGGAGCCGCCGGTCCCGAGCGCCGCGGCGCCCGGAGCGCAGCGCGCCCGGCCGGCGAACCCCACCCGGCGGCGGCGCCCGGCGGGCCGGGGGCGGCGGCCGCCTCTTCCCGCCCTCCAGAACCTTCCCGGGGGCTCGCACCGGCCCCACCGCCGCCGCCCCGAGCCCCTCAAGGTCACGCCGCCGCCTCCCCGCCCCGCGCTTCCCGCTGCCCCGCCGGCAGCATCCCACGGCGCCGCCGGGAGCTGCCGCCCGCCGCGCCGGCTCCAGCCCCGGCCCCCCCGCGCCGGGCAGCGCCCAGGCCCCGGCGGGCGGAGCGCTTCCCCCCGGGCGCCGCGGCCCCTCACCTGGATGAACTGGATGGTGAGCGCCGACTTGCCCACGCCGCCGCCGCCCACCACCACCAGCCGGTACTTCTCCTGCCCCGGGCCGTCCCTGCAGCCCGCGGCCATGGGGGAGCCGAGCGGGGCGATCGCGGCAGCGCCGCCGCGGGGTCCGACGCCCGCCTCTCTCAATGGCGCTCTCCTCGTCGTGCCGCCGGGGCTGAGCAGCCGCAGGCCCCGCCGCGCCGAGCGCCGCCGGCAGCAGCGGCAGCAGCAGCGCCCGGCCCGCCGTGCGGAGCGGCAGCGCCGAGCGGAGCGGAGCGCGCAGCACCGCCCGCCCCCGCAGCCAGGGCGCCGCGGCACTAATGGCCGCCGGGGGCGGGGCCCCCGCACCGCCATGCTAATGAGGGGGCGGGGCACCCTTATCTGCATGCTAATTAGGGTGGGATATGCGCGGGGGGCGGGGCCAGCGGGGAGCCGCCGTACAAACGGGCTAAGGGGGCGTGGTCCGCGCAGCGCCATGCTAATGAGCTCTTGCATATGCATGACTGCCCGCCCGCGGCACCGGCACGCCGCTGCGTTTGTGGCGTGCGGGTGGTGGCGGCGGCCCCCGGTGTCCCTCGGTGTCCCCCGGTGTCCCCGCCGCCCCCGGCAGACAGAGAGCCGCGGAGCTCATTAGCGGTGTCCCCACGGGCTCTGGTGGGGCGCCCGTCTGAGTGCCTCATCAACATTCATGAGGCTCTGGATGCCCACGGGATGGGGAGGGAGGTGTTGGTGACCCTTCGCAGAGCCAAGGCGCGGAGAGGTTTAAAGCCAAAGCGTCGCTAATGTCGCTTCCCACCAAGAGGGAAAAATGGGAAAAAGGTACAGTGACTAAAGCCCTTCGCCACTCTTCATCATGTTTCCTTGTGAGCATGCACGTAAATAGGTTTCTCACTCATTTAAGCCATTCAGATCAAGTCCACCCTCTCCTCTGAGCGTCGCCCACCGCTGGATATCACAGCCCCATATTCATCCCCCTCCGTACTTGGTCAGAGCACTCTGCTTTCAGCGCGTGGTGAATTCACCCTTTGCATCTCCTCCGCCTCTGCTGGGGACAGGCTGCTGTGATCTTCCAGTAGTGTCCCCTTCCCCTTTGGGTAACACCTTACTGCCCAGGGTGTTTCTGCACACCCAACACTCGGCAGATGATCATAATACAACGAAGCAGAAGTTTTGCTTTTCAGGGAATTTTCAGGGAATTCCTTCTTCGCTTCCTCTCCGCTTTTTTTGAAGATATAAAACAACGACCCTACGTATGTCTAATCTTACACACCTGTACATCCTTTTGCCAACACAGAATGACAGAGCTGTTATCATGTTGCTGAACGGCATAATCACATCAGCGAGGCAGCCACGCTCCTCCTCCCTACAAACTAAACTCCTGAAGTAGTGGCCACGCATGGAATCCTCACTGAAGAAACCTGACCTGTTCAACACTGGAGCTGCATAGGGAGGCAGGGACAGCATCCTCCTGCTTATTCACCCAAGAATAAGCACAACACACGTTTCAGCTCTGCACCAAAGGAGGGGAGGGTCCCACAGGCAGGAGCCTCCTTCCCTCCACAGACCCAGGACAGCACTGAGTGCCCAGTGCAGTAACTAATAGAGATCCACTGAGAAATTACAGCTTGTGGAGCTAATTAGGAGCTAACATGATATCATATATACACTTGAGGGCAAATCCATGATGTAGCCTAATCTGAATTCCACTATTACCCAATTTGTCGTGCTGAGCTTTGCAATTCTTTAACTGAATTTCTCTGCTTAAAACCCCAAAACTTTGAAACCAGGAGCAACATCCTTCAACGCCCATTCTGTCTCAGGGGAGAAGAGTGTCCGACACACAAGAAACAAGCTGCTACTTTGTGAGTTAATGGTGTACGTGTATGAGAAAGAGATACTTTGTCCCCAGGACTCACAACAGTATTTTGGAAGAGGAATGCCAGAGCTCAGGCTCAGTCGCCTCGGTATTCTCCTGTAGTGATAAGCTGCTTTTTCACATCCGTTTCCTTGTTGCCCATGCCGATCAAAAATAAGGAACAACTCACACAGGAAAGAATACGTAGTCTAACATTTTCCAGTTTGGAAAAAAGATAAGTGAGAGGGAGATAAAGCAGAGGTCTGTAAATTCCTAAGCAGCATAGGGGAAGTTGAACAGAGCAAGCCTCAAAATAGGAGAACTGAGGGACACCCAGTGATAGTAGGAAGAAACAAGTTTAAACAAACAAAAAAGGATAAAAAAGGATACTATTTTCCACAGACACAATCAATGGCACTGTGGAAATCTCTGCCACAAGGGGCTGTGGAAAATGAAACTGCCTGTGAGTGACAAAAGGTTAGACAAAGTCACAGAGCAGAAAGCAGCAGAAAGCAGCTACTAAGCACAGCGATCAGGGACACAGTTTTGACTTGGGAAGCCCCTAAAGCGCTGGCAGCCTGGAGGCATGTTTGCTGAACAAAGAACCCACTTTCTTCCCACGTGTCCTGGTTCTGGTGTTCTTTCACCTACAAATCAATTACTGGCCACTGTGAGTATTAATCCAGCAGGACAAGTCTCCTAATTCTTAATTACATTCTCTAGCCTAAGAAAAATCAAAAGTACAGATTGTGATGAAGTGAAGCTGCAGCTAATTTATCAAGTACTGGGTGTTTTTTAATCAAAATACAGCTACAATCTCACAGTTGGCCATTAGTACAGTGACCACTGAACTCTACTGCCAGGAATGGCAGTGACATGAAAAGCAGTTTTTTAGTGAGTTTTAAGGACACACAAATCCCTATGCAAACTATTGGAATAGGATATCTGAGTCTTGGTTCAAAGTTACATGGGAAGCCAAACATTTTTATTATCCCTTATTTTTTAGATTTCAGTTTCATCATTCATAATTTAAAACAAATTTAGTATTCTGAAAACAGTATCAGTATTGTCACTGATATAGCTATCCAATCTCATGAATTCTGCAAGAAAATCTTATTGTTCTTTAAATAAAACAGGTAGATATGACAATGGGTTAAAATAATACAATCATCTATTATGATCAAGAGAGTCTATTGCAAAAAAAATACTGTTAAAATCTTTGCATTTGTGAATCTTGAAATCTAGTTTTATAAATAGAGTTATATTCTCTCAAAGCACGAAGCAGTGCTCACAGGAAAACAGGAGATGGATTACAATTAATGAACAGCAGTGGGCTTTGCAGTTTTGTAACTGCACCCAAAGATGTCAATAAGAGTTGTTAGCTCTTTGCTGTATAAACACAAGTAGAGGGAGAGAATATAACTTATAGAGACAGTCTAAAACCAGGGCAGCCAGGGCAGGTCCAGCCCTGGAAGTGCCAGTTCCTACACCTTGTCTTCCCTCAGGAACAGCCCTTGCTGTGAGCCCTGGTTTCAGAAGACAAGGAGTATACATGTGAATAAAGATATGGAGATGAGGGAGCTACACACCCCAGGATTCACTTCCAGATCCACTAACTTGGGAAAGGCTTGACTGGTGACACACTTTACCCAGCAGGTGAAGACAAGAAACTTGGGACTGATAGGAGGCAGCAGGGCAAGATGATGCAAAAAGGATTTGGAGTGCTCCATGCAGCCAGGAAAATAAATTTTGCAGCACCAGTTTTCATATCCCTGGAGAGGCAGCAAATGTGGGATTTCATAACAGAGAGGAAGAACTTGAAAACCAAGAATTGAGATGATGGAGCCATGACCAAAGTTTTGATGAAGCAGCTTGGGAAGAAAGTACAGCTTTTAGAAGCATTGCATAGAAAGAAGCTGCGTCATTTCAGGTCTAGTCTGAATATGCATATTTAAAAAGAGACAAAATCAGAATGACATCCAGATGGCAGGCTTAAAAGAAAGATCACCATAATGCTTTACGTAATGACAGGGGAAAAAAAATACTTCAGGAAGCGCTTGAGGGAAAGATCCAGAACTTTGTTTTACATTGGCAGCCTTGCAAAGAAGTGGGTTTGGAAGGTTAGAAGACATGTATGCAGTAAGTGACATATTGAAAGCTAAAAAGCACTCCATGAGAACCTAAAAGCTTAATTAGAAAAAAAACTTCTTCTCAGGCTTAGCACAGAAAAAAGTTACAAAAATCTTTGGGACATGAGTCAGAGTGGCAGGTAACTCTAACTCTGAGTTATATCACTGATTTAGGATTATATATGTTCTTATCACTTGTTTACTGACCTTGCCCAAATAGGACATAAACATCACCTCTCCTGTGGATAGCTTCACCTAAAGGACATCCATGTGCTGCAATTCCCATCAAAGACTCCACTCTTGACCAGAAGAATATTTGAGGAAACTGGCTTTCTCAAAGCCATAAAACAAAAAGCTTGGAGAAAAAAGACATTTAAAAATTTGGTTTTCCTTGGAATAGGAAAGTAAGACCTAATTCAGAAGAAAAGAACTGATAATTTTTCTTGTCTATACAAAAAACTTGAGCTATTTAATGAGCAATGAGCGCCCAGAAACTGGAAGAAAAATAAGCCGTTTCTCCTCAGACACACTTATTAGTTTCTACCTGAGTAAAAAGTAAAACTATTTTCAGCCAAGTAACTACAGCTTTTTATAAATCTTCATCTATTTTTACATCTACCTATTCCAGTAAAGTAGTCTGTAGAAAGCACTTCAAAATGTGTCATTTTCTTTGAGGCTTGAAACTGATCTACAAACAAAAGTCCTAATTTTTTTTTTTTTGTATTTTTTTGTTTTCTTCTGTAATGTTTAAGATGGGCTTGTCAATTTTTATTAATTACTATGATTAACTTAGCAACTCACATGTGTTTATACCCAGTAATAATTACAGAGAAATAATACCCCACAAGAAAAGAGTAAAATAAACTGTGTAGGAATAGTATTTTTAGACAAGATTGTTTAAAATTTGTGATGCTATATGTTTTCCCTAACATTTACATAACTACCTTGAGCAATTAATGTGAGGGGGAGTATATGGGTGTTTTTTTAGAGAATGCACCATCATCATCTCTTTAGTGAGCAGCTCAGGTTCTGCACACCTGGGCATTCAGTCAACCCTCTACCAAACCAAGCTATCCAATCTTGACTGATTTGATATATGTGATTCCAGGTATATTTGGATAATATGTATTTATCTATTTTTATACATGTATTGATTTATCTATTTATTTAATTATGTTACTAGGATAAAAAAGAGGCAGGAAGGAAATCTAAATTAGTGCCTTTTAGACCTTAAAAATGAGAAAGTGATCCCAAAAGGAAATTTCTCCACAAATCACTTCCAAATTACTGCTTGAAAGAAGACTCTTACTCTGTTGGAAAGGTGTGTGTACC